GGGGAGGGGATTGGAACCCCCTGACAAAGGTGGGTCACACAGAGACTAAAAAGAACAACACCAGTAATGAACCAAAGAGTCACTACACTGTGTACACTACTTACACAGACCAACATCACAAATGAGAAAATACAATTACTACTCCAAATGCTGTTGCCAGGAAACAGTTTATATTTCCTCAAAGCTGGTTTTGTAAATGTTTTTGAGAAACCTTGTTGAGAAAAGTACCTTTTTTGTTTGTAGGTATCAAAGACAAATATTACCACTACAAGGACAAGATGAGCTTGAAACAGTGGGAGAAGCGGGGATTATAACGCACATGAAGAGTTTCAGTGTTCTGTGTCATGAATATAATGCAATGCGTTACAAAGTCAAGGTCATCCTCTGGGATTAGGCTATTAGCTTCAAAGATTTCGGTTCCTTCCTAACTTTTATTGTCCTAGCTTTTCATCCTGAACTTTGGGAGGGGCGTGGGGGTGTGAGAGGGACACCCCACTACCAGAGTTCAACTGTTTCTCTGCAAAAGCTCTGAATCAGCTGAGGGCTTTCAGGGCTGCCTGCAGAAATGGGTAGACAGACACAGAATAGCAAACCAATCCAAATGTTGAAGTGTGGGCGACTCTCTTTGAAAGGATGGGTGGTAGGGCAGGTGTGGAGGGGTGATGTAAAAAGCAAAAAAGAGAATGTGAAAGGAAAGAGTCAAAATGCAATCACCTCTATAGTGCGAATGCTCTTTCAAAGGAGGCAGAACTCTCTGGCTGACGTATAAAACTGGTCACACCAAGACCACATTTGGTCTTTTACAGAGTATATAAAATCTTCAGCTTCATACAGGTTTTTCACTTTAATATCACTATAGTTTATATTTTAAAATGATTAGAAAACAGCTTTCGTATCACTCAGATTCTACATGTTATCACAGTTGTTGCCATATCCCCACAAGACACAACAGGCTTTGAAATCTTTCTAGCACTTCTCCAAACCAGAATTCTGGCAGCTGAGGAATTTCAGATATACAGAAATTGGAACGGATTGATTTTTATTGGCTCCGTTGTATGCATGCGAATATTACTTAGGAAATACACCCTCATGAAATAAGCTTAATGAGTATGAAATACATGGAGACACGCGTGACTCATGGACCCCTCTCAAACACTAAGAAATGGAATGACAATGTTTTATTTATTAGCACGTAAAAGGTTAAAAGTTTCTGCCACAGTTAAGGCTTTCTTAGGAAGGAAAATTTAATTGTCTATGAATTGCAGGACGTACAAGTTGCCTGCAGAAGCCTCCCTTTTTAGAGTGGTCTTTTTGAATGTGTTTCCTTTTCATGTGCTAGATGTATCCAATAATAGCTCAAATATTACCTTCACAATTACTTCCTTTTCATTTTTCTGGCATTGATTTGACATCAAATTTAACTTCAGTCTTTGACAAATGAAATGCTATTGTAATGTCATTTGTATTTGCTGAATGAATAAAGTCTATATCGTGCTACACAAGATAAATAGCCAAACAGAAAACACAGTAAGGAGGCTGTTTATCACAGATGTCACACGAATATGAACACGCTGGGGGCAGGTGCTTGAAAATACACACCATTTCTGTTCGCAAGGCCATTTGTAGGAATCCAGATAGTGCACATGTTTAAAAAGGGAGGGGGGGCAATGTCCAATAACCCTTTGTGCAATTGGGAGATATATTGAAATAGATAAAAACCTAGAAAACTTACTGCGTTCTAATGCTGTTTTCCCGTGTACGCCAAAATTTTATTTTTTGTATAACAGCTATAAGAATACAATGTTAATCTACATTACTTTATTTGCTTGCCAAATACAGGCATTTCTCTGTATATTTCAATGCACTTTGCTATTTTGAGAGCAAAGGGAAATCGGTCCAGCCACTAGCATCAAGCTCAAAGGTACAAGGATGCTATGCTATTTCATGAAAACATCCTAATGGTGTTTATTCTACATATGATTGCTTAAAAAGCTAGAAATTCCAAACTCCAAGAAGGAAAAGGAACATAATCCTGGTGGCACTGCTATTATTTTGCATAGAATTAAATCTCTGGGTTCCATGCTGTCATATGTTAACATGGTGGCAGAATTTTCTGAGCCAAGCGCATGAGGCCTAATACCCATTCCTGGTTGTGACAGGAAAATGGAGAGGGACTTAGTCTCCTTTTGGAAGACCCAAGATGGAGAACTGAGGAAAACGAGTAGTATCAAGGGTAACTGTTGGAGCTAATTTTAATTCGAGACTAGTAATCTGGGGAGAAGGGAAGGAGGTCAAGTCCAAGGAGGAAGTGTCTAGTCTAGGGCGCTCAGTATCCAGTTGGCCAATACCTGGTAAACTGGAATCATCAGGTCTAGAGAAGCCCTTCACCTTTATAACTCCAGTAAAGCTGGTGGAGATGCTCAGATTCTCTTCCATGTGGTTTGGGAAACTGAGGGGCCATTTCCAGGGAGGCTGTATCAAAAGTCCCCAACTTCCTAGTGTTTCTATACAGCACGTATACAAAAAATTAAATGGATTTCTGCCTAATTTAATGCCATGCTTTTATATTGCAAAGGGTTCTTCACATTGCTATAGATGAAAATGCCAAATGTAATCAACTTCTGCTAACTTTTGAGCACACTCGTGATACCTTTGGTTTTCAAGTTCTGAAAAAAAAAAATGCATTTGGCTCCTCTGATAGACTCATTAACCCACTCTCTTAAAAGCAGATGAATAATACACATTCTTTCAAGAACTGTTATATACTGGAATCGTTACAAGACAAGAAGCACTGCACATGTCTTCCTTACATAGTACCTTTACTCGGCACACAGAACATCAGACATACAACATTGGCAGTTTAAATACTGAACCACAGTTTAACTTCTCAAGTGTAAGGCCCAAGTTTAAAACTGGCACATCCATTAATCTAGTTAGTATGATGGAAACGACATATAACCACAGTTGGGTAGTGGTTTATCTTTTTAACGAAGCTATAAAGCTTTCCATATCTATACCATATTAACTCTTTTACTTAGCTAAAAATCACATCTGTGTTTATCATTTTAAACTATGTCAGGCTGGGGGGACAAGAAACACACACGTCACAGCTACTGAAAACTACACAGATGGCAATTTCTTCAACCCTTTGTTACAAACAGCAAAAAAGGAGGGAAAAAAGCCCTCTTAATGAATATCAAGTTTCAAAGCTTCATATGGAATTCTAGTGTTATTAAACAAGTAGCCAAGACACAAACACCCAGCTCGGGTCATTGAAACTTCAATAGAAGCAACAACTGAGCCTAATTCTTGATTTAATTTTGAGGACCCATGCAAGATTTGGCTACAAAATTCAAACTAGTCTGGATGCCTAGTTCTAGCATTGGATTGAAGCCAAAAAGAAAGCAAAATGTATATTTTAAGAGCCTATTTCTAGCCAATTTTCATGTAATCATTTTATTTCACTTTAGGAAATTAAAGGTGGTCACAGCTTAATCAGCCTGCATTTAAAAAAAAAACAAACAACAAAAAAACACAAACAACAAACAAAACTCAAAATAGTTTTCAGGGCTTTAAATTGAAATGGTAAGTTTGTGTTGCACTGTTTTTCCTATTTTTCCACCCTGTTTATACTACTGCTTCAAAATGGAGTAGATGCATAGCATGTCAAGTAGATAAATTAATGCACTCAATTCAATATTCAGTTAAGGTGAAAAAGGCAAATGTGAGAACCATAATGGGTAATTTTCTATAAGCGTCAATGTGCAGTTGGCAAATGTTGATTATAACAAGCAGTAATTTTGCAAAGAAAACAGTATGGTCTTTCTTTATCACCCTCATTGCAAAAATATTAATAACTGAAAGGGCTTTGGTTTCAATTTTTTTCTCCTTGCCTAAATATATAAAGAAGTTTGAGAAAATGGTTCAAAAATTTAGTGTAGGAATCTTTATGAACTATTTGAAGCATGCCACTCAAACCCAAAATCTGGAGTCAATAAAGAAGTTCTTGCATTTGCGTACATCTGAACAGGATCTGAACCCTAGCTTTCTGAACTAAAGAGAGTAATATTTTGGTGACTCTAATGAAGTACAATAATTTCATTGACTTTGGAAATAAGGCAGCTAATTTGGGGCGGGGGTGACAAATCCAGTGGTATGTTTATGTTATGATTAAGTGAAGGGTCCCTTGATCCATCTGGGCTGCAATGACATAGAGCCACGTGTTCCTCACATTCCTTAACGTCATGCCTCCTTCATGGCCTCTGGCTGTTTCACCTGGAAATGCAAACGTTTCCCTGGCCGTGCACGTCTTCGCTCTCCAGAATGAGCAAGTGGACCTCACCAGCTTTGACTTCTCCGAACTTGGGAGCTCCTAAGTCAAGTCGATGTTTGTGCCTTTCCCTCGTAAGATGGGCCAATGCATAAAAGCATACCAAAACTTGATTTTCTTTTTCATCTCAGTTTATGTTAACGAGAAGCACAGATGCAAAATAAAACAAACAAAAGTTTAAAAACAAAAAAAAAAGGAAACTGAATCAGCCAGAAGCTTGGGTTGCACTGCTAATGATTTTTGTTAGTGTGACTTCGTGCAAAATATCCTCAAGAAGGCTCTGGCTCATTTTCAAAGTAACCAAAATAACAAAAGCCAATGATGCATGTTTGGAAAAAAAATCAAAAATGAGCCTATCACGTGTCTATTTGTTATATACATGTGCCACGCGTAACAAAGCAAATGTAGTGTGTGAATTGTGAACATCTGAAAAAGTATCGGGTTTTTTTTCCATTTCCAAGTCTAGATCAAAGCAATCTTGCTTTAGAAACAGATAATTGCAATGAAAATGAGCCTGAGATATGTTAAAAGGCCGCCCCTGTAAACATTTCCTCAAAGGGAACAGTAGCAGTTGAGTATGTATCAGTTACTCATACTATATTCATCACTATAGCAATGCTTTATAAAAGACAAACAGCTTATTTCTAGGCTGTCAGGGATTTATAGAATATTGATTTTTTTGTTGTTGGAAACAATCCACTGTAATCCAGTCCCAGGTTTAAATCCGATCTGGCTTTTACCGGCAGGCATTCACTAGGTCTTCTGCTCTGCGGCTGTGGCGGTCTGTGAAGGAGCTTCCGGCTTCATGATCTGGTAGGTGATGAGATACTCCGGGTATGCCTGGAAACGACGAGCAGAAAAAACGAATCACCCTTCTGGTAGGTACAACATTAAAGCCTTACTAATGTGGGAGCCTCAGGCTCATCCTAGCCTTCTACAGGGGCCCACTCAATTAACAGGTGCCTGAACGATTAGGAGGTCCCCCTACTTAGCTGTATATAAACGTGTAAACCCTACAATCTAGAAAACCGTTCGAATGCTATTTCTATTTCAATACTGTAAATTAGTTACATTCTAGGCATCCCTTATGAGACAGCCATGTGCCATAAACAGGAAAACTAAGGCACGAGGCAACGTGAATAGTTTTCTTTTTTGCCTCAGGTAGCACAGTGCTGTCACAAATAATTCTGAATCGAGTTCAAATTAATTATAGAAAATGATGTAACTCACTGAGCTAGAAGGAGTAAGGGTGGGATGTGTTGAGTCACCCATGACCTAGAGGCTACAGTTTGGAGATAATTTTTAAAAATTAACTAATTACAGGTATCTTTTATAGGAAACACAATGGCTCAGATTTAGACATGCTTCCTACTATTCTTTCTCTTCTCTCTCGCAGTTAGTAATACAGAAGGTTCGGTGTCTGGGCTGGGAAGGGCACTTCTTGATGGGTGCAGGAAAAGGCAGGCTGACCGGAGGGAAGGGGGCAAAACACTCCTTAGTTTGGATACTATGTAGGAATTCTTCAACCCTAATATAACATGATGATAAAACTAGACCCAGGATTTCAGAGTAGTGTGTGGGTGAAAATAATTACTCCTTGGTGAGCCAAGTGTTATGGGGTCCAAAAATAATTTGTTGAATGCTGACTTACGAATTACTTGCATACAGATGTGGAATAAGATAAGGAATGAAGGATAAGAAAAAACTGGACTGTTTAATATTTAGAATGCAGAAATGTGATCAATTTACTGAATAATTTGTTTATAATTATATACCTTGATTTTAGGAGGCAGAAACTATGATATATCTGTGTCTCAGATTTCCTAAACAGGAACTGTAATATTAGAATTTCTATGAGATCTAAAATGGTCTTAGAATAGATTTAGCATAGTAAGAATCTAATGTGTTAGTGATTACTGTTAACGCTAGTATTTTCATCATCATTATCATACATGTATCTCCTAAGAGGTCTCAGCAAGGGTTTTAAAAAGTTATAACTGTCTATATATATGTAAGGAATCTATCATTCATAACATTTTTTCCCCCAAAATTCTAGTCTGCTCAGATCTGAGTTAAAAACAGCAATGGTTTCCATCTTTAGCACACTTAGTTGGGATAACCAAGATTGACAATCTCTGATATTCCAATCTGACGTTTCAATAACTAAACGGTTTGTAGTTTTATTTTGTTATAATTTGTATACTGCTTAATTCTGGAAATGGTTTACTGAAACACACTAGGTCAGATATCTATTTCTAACTCTAGAGTTGAGTGTAAAGAATCTACCAAAGCTCAAACACTGGTGGAAAAATGAAAACACTAATTAGTCAACCAATGGTTTAACGGTCAAGAAAATTATTTATTCATCACTAATATACATGTATGGAGCATCTACCATGTAAAAACACTCTGGTCTCAGATATGGACCCTGCTGGGAAGGAGCTTACCATCTAGTCTCGGAGGCTAAGCCAGACAAAGAAAGGAGACATTGAAACATAATCCAAGTTGGCTTATGCTACGTGTCACAAATGAGTGGGAAGCCCACTCCTACTTCCTTTTGTCCCAATGCAGTTTAATATTTATGATAATTTGCATGACACATTCTAAATGTTGCTTAAGCAAAGGAGTCAGTAATGCCAGTGTTTGAATTTTGGTAGCACATGATTTAAGGTGATCCCTGACACGTGTAAATTTCAGTCAGGCAGATTCTAAGATTCTAATGACATGAATTACTTAAAGGTCCTTATCAGAGTGCTCCTGGTCCCTGCTGATTAGGCTACCAAATTGTTCTTGTGCACACTTTAAGATCCTGATTAATCACATCAAAGTTCTGAGGGGTTTAAGGCAAGGGAATTACAAAACTGCAGGACTAGGAGGGCCTAGAATGGACCAAAAAACATTACTTCCTGTCAAGGTACTTTAAAAAAAATACATTTTATGTATTTATGACCAGCATGGATTTAAAGTTTCAAGAATTGCTTTTAGTACCTCAATTTCAGAAAATTCTTAACCCAAATTCCTACTGCTAAAATTTAAACTTAGATGCTGTTTATTTTTCATGGAGATGAAGCAGGAATTGTCATGCTCTCTTGAATAATTTTGTATATTTGGAAACCATTCTATAAATCATAGTATTTTCTTCTCCAGGTTAAATAATTCTGCGTTGTCCATATCACTTCAGCAAAACACATGAAATCTCTGTAGCAAAGCCAATCTTCCCTCTATTCCATACCCTACCTGGCTCAAGACTGATAGCATATAGTAAAATATTGTTCTCATAAGGTTGTTATTTTTTCTCTTTTCTTTCAGTGTAGTTGTGGTATTCATTTAAAATTCAATTAAGTTCAGACAAATTGATTTTTGTTTCTGGGCAAATTGGTGGATGTTTAGCAGTACTGGGATAGCTAAGGACTGGGAAGAGACTATAGAAAGTTTGCTGTATGTATACACTTCTCTGTATATGTATTTCCAGGTCTCAAGAACAGCCTAAGATCCCAAGCCTTTGCTTCTCAGCTGCCCTCTTGTTCACACTGTGTTACTGAGCTGACAGGTAACTGATGAGTTGTGTCAAAAGCTGGTGTTGGAGAATCATTTTGGTATCTTTACTGTGTACGGGAAGACTAACGCTATGACTATGTGGTGGATACTTCATTAAGAGGTTTCGTTAACCCTCACCTGGTCTCCATGTTCTGTGTGGACATGTTCAGCAGCTTGGTCACGTTTATTTGATGAGTGACATACCTGTTCTCCTCTGTAGATGACATATTCAGCATACGCCAGCCCGTTGACACTGGGTCTGCCAATCACTGAGTGATGTCCTGGGGGAGCATGAGCCATTTTCATGGTGCTAAATTGCAGAAAGGATTTTCCAAGGGTCACTCTACAGAAAAGCATTTGTCTAAAGAGAAAAGAGAAGCGATGCTTTGAAGGAAGCTTTAAACCTTAGAATAATACACCTGTAAGGTTTACTGATTTTTCAAAACAGTTTAACACAAAGGCAAGCTAATTTGAATGTCATTTTCAAATTTATGAGGAGGAATGGGATGGCATTTGATATATTGATTTACTATAAACAGTTATCAGGCTCGATAGTTACACGTGAAGTTTAAAGTAGTTTTGGTGTGGCTTAGGAATCAATCCTAGGAAAATACCTAGCAGTAAGTTTTGGCTAGTGGGAAAAGGGAAATACTAGAGAAAACTGAGTGCCTTGCATGGGTGGACAGGTGGAATGTGAAGAAATAAGCAGATAGAAACAGCACCTGAAATGAAGATTGAGTTTGCTCATTATGAGGAAAAAATAAAAAGTGAGGTTACATAATAAAACTAGGTTATGAACAAAAATACTGAGCTTAAACGTATGGCTAGAAATCATACTACTAGAGTGAAACATGCATTGGGGCAGATATAAATATTATAGAGAGCAAGAAACGTTGATTGGGAAGAAAGTATATCATATACATACTAGGGATTGGCAAACTATAGCTCATGGGCCAAATCCAGCCTACCACCTGTTTTTTTGCAAATACAATTTTACACGAACACCATGCATTCATTTCCATATTGTCTATGGCTACTTTTGCACTACAAGGGCAGAGTTGAGTTATTTTGACAGGGATTGTATGGCCTACAAAGCCTAAAATAATTATCTAGAATAATAATTTAAAAAAAGTTTGCCAATCCCTAATATAAACAAAAAACATTTTAATTAATCGGTACAGTTGGTCACACTGTTAAATGTAAATAGTTGTTATTCAATCAAATAGTTTGTTTTTAGCAACAGAGTCTGACCTTTGTGTTGTGACCCATCAGAGATACTATTCTGAGTCAACTAAAATTTGTGCTGGGCTCAGGATAACCGGATCCAGCCTGGGCTGACGTTTTAGCTGGATGCTGCTGAGGGACCCTCCAGGATGCTGGCTTGGCATCGACCGTATTCTCTTGTAGGGCCCAGAGCAAAGGGTTTTGTTCTGCGTTACAGAGAGGCTTTTTGAGCTCCATCTCTACATCGTGGCAGTGGTGTGCTGTCACTAGATTCTGTGTGCTCCCAGTGCATTGTGTCATACACAGCTTGACCTAACAGGCCCTGGCCTCCTGCCTCTGCTAAGGCAGGAGAAGACAGTGGGATCTGCCCAGCCAGCCCATGAGGCTGCAGGTGGAGAGTGCTGGTGCATGCCCGCTCACTGCGGCATATCATGCAATTGCAGCAGCCCAAACTGTAGGGGTACAGATGCCCTGGGGAGCAGATTTTGGCCAATGCAAGATGGGAGCCAGCAGTCAAATTCATCTCTCTCTCTCACTGACATGCTACTGTTCTGAGATGCAGTGATTCACACAGCCTCTCTGGAGATGTCTCGTGGACCGAGCCAGCAACTGCACCTGGCATGAGACTGTGGCCAGCTCATTAACGGACCTCACTGTGCTTGCTCTGCTGCCATCTCCGCCTCGCTTCTTTCTGGACCCTCATTCCTGCGTCCCTGGGACTGCAGTTGCCAGTAAAGTACTAGTCATATACTTCCGCTTCAAGCTTGGTTTTCTAGGAAATCCTGGCTAAGACATAAACTTGTGTGTCTAATTTTAATAAGCAACTGTTAATCCTCATCGAGGTTCACTTTTATTGCTTATTTAGGTTCATTTTGTCTCCATAGTAGTTGTGTTTGAAGCATCAGAAAAATGCTTTTGTGGGCTCCATTTTCTTGGGCATTTCTGTGTGTTCTTAACCACAGAGGTCTTAATGGAAGGAAGTTTCCTTCTGGACATATGGCATCCATCTTACAATGGCTGATGATAATAGTTTTTTTTAAATGATCTAAGTTTTAAGGTCAATAACTATAATGAATTTCAAGGTTATATGGGTCTTTTTAAGGTCTTAACTGAATCATAAGATATCCTATTAAGCCGATTCTGCAAAACTAATGCATTTGATTAGTTTAACATCCCAATTTTCATGAAGTATAATTCTTTTGTATTTTTCATTGGCGAGGAGGGGAATAGTATTTTTTTTTCCCCACTGACTTCAGAGATAGTATACTATTATTTTCTCTAACTTCTGAGTTTTAACATCCTATTTAAAAAGATGAAATCCATTTATTTGCTATTAACTCCTAAGTTGGTATTTTGAAGTTACTTTTCAAAGCTAATTCTTTATCCCGCCTTAAAACAACATCACCAGCAATATCAGAAGCAAATTAAAGAGTCTTCTTGTTTATAGAAGTTGTGCATCTTAGAACTAAAGGTTTTTGTCTTCTACAGAAATCATTCTCAGCCTTTGCTTGTTCTGATTCTGAAGCAAGGAAAGTAAAGCCTAGGGAAAAAGCCAAGATGCAGGGAATTTCATTACAATCGATGACTGCTGGACATGCATCTTTGTTTTTACTACTGGTATTGGCTTTGCTGTCATTGCTCCTTAGGGCAGAGGCTGATGAGCTGTACCTGCTCAACACCTAAGCCTGTGTGATAATCTGTGACTTCTGAAAGCCTGAAAAACTAATTTAGTTCATGACCCAAGGGTGGCAACCATGCCACTAAAGGCAAGATGCTTACCTGTGACATATATAACACGACCTGTCTTTGTGTGTAGGGCAACCTGTTCCTCCTCCAATTCCATAAACATACTGGTTGCTTTTCGAGGAGTTTTCAGCAAAATAAATCCCAGCTCCAAACATTCCTCCTATGTATGCATGTCGCTCATCAAACCCTTTATGAATAATGGCATTAATGAAAGGAGAACCTTAAAACATAAAGATAGAGAGATTAGTGTTTGAATACTTTTCTAGAATCTCAATTAGTTGCATAATACTTGCACTGGGTAGATGAAGAATTAAAGCATAAATAAAAAGTTTATTTTCTAAGTTGGTCTATTATACATAATGTACTAGGACTAGATTACAACAAAAAACATTTCACCAGCTGGCTCAACGTGCAATTTAAGTTCTGAAACAATTTCAGGTAACTTATTTTCATCATACATGCCTTGGAAAGCCCACAGTAACATGTAATGCATTAGAAAGCTGGTACCAACAAGTAATTTACTTGGGGAAAAAAAATAAAAACAAGCATTTTTAACACGACCCTATTACCGTCAATTTAACACAGATTTTTCACTTTATTGAATTCTGCAAAAGCCCACAGAGGCGTCTGCAATTCCTGCCAGGCTACTCACCGTGAAATAACATGCGTTCATTGTGATGGTTGTGATTCTCCTCTGACACTTCCTTTTGTCTGTGACAGAACCGCTCTCTCAACTTCTTGTTGACAACTTTTTGAATCTTTTAGGATAAAGGAGAAAAAAAGCAATTAGCAGTAAAATGTAGTTTATGATTTAAAATGAAATGCATGTTTTCCTTTAGGCAGGTTCAATTTTTGTTTTGTTTGCTTAAGACAATTTAAAAATGATAAAGTTGCCACGTCAGTGTAGCTCAGTTAATATTCTAGCTTTTAGTGACATAATTTTCAGTTATGGTTTCTTTATTTTGTATCAGACCTGGCTGTTACCTAAAAATCATCTCAGGAGGATTTTTAAGGTTATTTTTAGGCTCCTCCCAGACTAAATGACTTTAGGAGATGGGGGCCTGGAAATCTGTATTTTTAAAAAAGCTTCCTGAGTAATTCTGATGTGCATCAGTGTAACTTTCACAGGTTTGTTGACTCAAAGGGTGAAACCAGTTCCCAACAGATTTTATTCATCTTTACGATATCCCTTTGAAAAAAGCATGTAACAGTTATCTGTTCCAGATTATAAATTAAGATACTAAGATTGAGATATATGTATTCTGGTATAATCGCTGACTCAAT